TGGGGCAGTGGGTGGTGTCTGTTACATTCTCAAGAGGAACCTTACACCTGGGGGGTTTGCTGTGGTCAGACCCTCCCAGCGTTGTTCCAACCTAGTGTTTTTCCCCACCCTGGGACCTCAGGTCCTGACCTTTCCCTCTCGGCCTGTTTCATCCCATCTTTCCCTATTATATTACCGTCAACATTTGCAGCAGGATGGGACATTTGTTACACCTCATGAACCAACATGGACACGGGTCTGTCACCCAAAGTCCAGTAGTTTCCATGAGGGTCACACTTGGTGTTCTATGTTCTGTAGGTTTGGACAGATGCACAGTGACCCGTGTCCACCACTGTAGTATCATGAGGAGCAGTCTTACTGCCCTGAAAATCCTTTGTTCAGCCTGTTCACCCCACCCTCCTCCCTAATCCCTGACAACCACTGATCTTTTTTACCGTTCCCATCCTTGTGTCTTTTCTAGAATGTCATAGTTGGAACCAAACTACACATACAGTCTTCTTAAACACATAAGGGAATTCTTAACAAAGCCATCCATAACCTTCCTCCCCAGCAATGCCTTTGACTTCTTGATTAATTTCTAACCGATATCTTTCTAGGTATTTTTTGTGTTTTTTTTTTTTTAACTCCTTTTGTCTTCTAAACAGTTCATTTGTAGTAAGTTTAATAACCTCCATAAAACTTTTCAACTACTTAGGCATATTTTACATATCAGTCAGAAGAAGGTAGTTTGTTCTGGTTCACAGTCACAAAGGCTTATTTCTGTCTGTCTTTCTATATCTATCTATCTATCTATCTATCTATCTATATTTATGAGTGCGAGGTGGGAGGGACAGAGAGAGAATCTGAAGCAGATCCCACATGGGCTCAATCTTATGGGTGAGATCATGACCTGAGCTGAAATCTAGTTGGATGTGTAACCGAGCCACCCAGGTGCCCCTGCTGCCCCATTATTTAAAAAAAAAAATATTCCAGGGATTAATCAAAGTAAATAAATGAAGATGCAATTACCAACATATTTATTACCTAGTTGTGGCTAAGGTTTTCCTCTTTACCTGTTGTGCTAAAAAATACCAAACAGCTGAGTCTTGTTCACCTAGGGTAACAATCAAGAAACTTTGAGACAGTTGACACCATAATGCTTTGTTTTTCTGATGGCTGTTTTTAAACTGAGCTAAGGTAATGCCCCAGTTAAAGCCCAGGAAACTCCTTTGTTATGTTAGAAACCTTACAGGAAAGGAAAGCTGAAAGTCAAGAGCGGAAGAGGCAGGAACAGAATGAGGTGGTGGGAAGGGTGTGTGTAACTCTTTGTATCCACACAGTATAGAAAACCTGACTAAGGAAATCCAAGTGGCAGCGTTAATGTTCTCAGAAACACTTAAAGGTGACTAATCGTGTGTGTGCTAGGACAATTTATTTTCTCCTAAGTACTAACAGATAGTAATAGGCAAGGAATAGAACATTTTCTGTGGGGTCAAAGACAAAACAAAAACAAAAAGCCAACCTGGCAGAATGGAGAGGAAAGTGTCGCAGTCTGATCTTACCTTGACCCCAAGCACCTGATAGCCTCGCACCTACACAGAGGCACAGCCAGGATAGATGTGACGCAAACCCCCGACTACTGTTTGCCATAAAAAGTTAGGTCATGATGAATGTTTCCAGGGTTGCCGTCCCACGCACTTTCTCGCTTTCACCAAGTTTTACCAGTTCTAAGTTCCATTTATGATTGGCTCACGATTCTCTCTTCAAACTGTGCTATTGCACTAGTTTCCCACGTGTCTTCCCTGCAAACCCCACGGAACGCTGCTAACCAGAAGCTCATCATCAAAGAGGTGAGCTCCCTCTGTGCACATCACCAGAGACAACAAAGCATTTCTAGCTTTTCAAAAGAAAAGATAACACATCTGCAGCATTGAAATAATACAGTATTCAAATCTAGAACCTAAAAATAGTATTTCCAAAGCTAATTCTATTTCTGTCTTTCTACATGAGATATATAGGGAAATTATTTCCATCAGGAAGAAGAAAAGTGAAAGAGTAAATATATTTTTTTTAATATTTATCTCTGAGACAAAGAGAGAGAGTGAGAGAGAGAGAATGGTGGCAGGTGCAGGGAGAGAGGGAGACAGAGGATCCGAGGCGGGCTCTGTGCAGAGCCTGACATGAGGCTTGAACTCACAAACCATGAGATCATGATCTGAGCCCAAGTCAGACCCTCAACCGAGCCACCCAGGGGCCCCGAAAAAATACTTTTTAAAAACATAAGTGGGTTGTTTTTATCAGCTAAACTCCTAATTTGCTGGGGAATGATAGGTCATAAAGACTTCCCATTTTTCTTTTTTTTTTTTTACATTTTTTTTAACGTTTATTTATTTTTGAGACAGAGCATGAACGGGGGAGGGTCAGAGAGAGAGGGAGACACAGCATCTGAAACAGGCTCCAGGCTCTGAGCGGTCAGCCCAGAGCCCGACGCGGGGCTTGAACTCACGGACCGCGAGATCATGACCTGAGCTGAAGTCAGACGCTTAACTGACTGAGCCACCCAGGCGCCCCAGACTTCCCATTTTTCTGCTGGTAGCACCTGGCTGCCTAAAATGTGAACAGATAGCCACCACACAAAACAGGGGTCCCACCTTAACATAAACATTCTGCAAGTTTGAATCTGGCATCCTTTCCCTGTTCCAAGGCTCAATGTCAGGTTTACACAAATCCCCATACCTCATGAGAACCGTCAAAAGTTAAGATTTTCTCTTCTGGTCTGTAAGTGTAAAGCTGTAGGATTATTTCTCTCTTAGTTTACAAGTTCCCATTAGTCGCTGCTAATTCCAGATTTCAGATTTTCATTTGTAAAGACTCTGATTTGGTGGGCTAGTGTCCCATGAAAAGGAGGTATTTGCAGAATGACCTCCAAAGGCCAAAGCCACCATAAGACCGAAGAAAAAGGCCGCCAAGTCCAGCTTGACAAGAAATGGTTTATTGAGGGGACTTAGGGACAGACGCGTATCTTGGGAAGCTGCAAGATAAGCAGAGGTTCACAACCCCACCTCCTGTAAAACTGCTTTTTACAGCCCTAGTGGCTGGGGGAATCACCCAGAAGGAAATGTTTAAGCATTGTGGTCCCATCTCCAGAGCAGATCAAGGATGTTTTGCCCCAAGGATGTACTTTAAGGTGTGACTATACAAAAGTGTGTGTGTGTGTGTGTGTGTGTGTGTGTGTGTGT